CCCCACCAGTGTGGCCCCGGGCAGCTTGAGAAAGCAAGAAAGCCGGTCCGAAAAGCTCAGAGGCTCGAGGCAACCGGACCAAATTGGCTGGCAGTGCCAGTCAGATTGAAAAGACAAAAAAAAAAGGACCAAGCTTGGCGTGCAGGGTGAAGCCGCCAGCCTTGGATGTAAACCGGTGGTTTAAGGCTGGGAGAGCCATAGCCACTGCCCTTACTATGCCTGTTCATGTCTGTTGCAAGGTATATATCCCTCTCTCCTTCTTAACTACCACTGCACCCAAAGCAAAATCGTCAAAGGCTGGGACATCCCGACAACCAACCACGGGGTGGGCTGGACTCCAGCTGATCGGTTCCAGTGGGAGAAACTGACGAATGACCCCTTGTCCCTTATCTAACAGTCGGATGCCTGATAGGCTCTGCACCGCAGTGCTGGTGGCCTCGGAGGGAAGAAGACAAAGCACGTGAAAAGAGATACCGACCCTTTCCGGCCTCCGGAACGCGAGCCAATTCACAGCTTATCAAACAGGGTTGCGTGACGCATTCACTCCCCTCTTCCATCTAGTCGAGTCTATTTAGGAGGGATGTCCTCGTCCAGGTCCTTGCCCAGTTGGTAAATAAACTTCAACGTTACGTGTCCTTGATGCCAGACATCACAAGGGGTCCTATTTACTTAAACCGCCAGTAATTCCGAGCCACATTTGCCCGGGGCTACAAAACGCCCTTCGCACCAACGAAAAACGAACCAGTGCAGTCTCCGTTTTCGCTGGCGTCACCAGCCATTTTGCTTCAGCTGCCAACGCCCCCGAAAGTTGCAGGAGTATGCAAGGTCCGTCCGAGAAAGATTGCCGGAAATCGTACTGGTCGTGTAAACCACCCGTAGGTCCAGTACATTCGACGTCCCCCTGCAGCAAACGGCTAACAACCAACGACTCACAATGCTCCGTCCACGGCTAACACTATAGACATTTACATCGAACGTGCTCAAATTGCCCAATCGCACGACAGCCGACGACAGGGCAGCCATTCGAGCCCAAAAATTCTTAAGCCAATCAGCAGTCAGGGATCAGCATCGCACAGCCAAAACACACCAGCCGGGGCCACGTAGACAGTCCGCAGCTGGAAAGCGTTAGTGTGTTTGGGAATAAGCCATCTTTCCAGTCCATGAATTTTCCTATCAAAATAACTGAAAGAAGGTTCCAACACAAAGGCGCTAGCACAAGCAAAAATGACTGAAAACTCTTCTTGCGAGAGCCTACGAAGGCCTCTAGCGAGCCTCTGGAGGCTCGCCACAGAGTTCGATACAAATATAGGAAACATCGAATTAGAATGGACAATTTAGAGTCGGATTTCTTAATAAAGAAACAGAGCTCAAACTTGTTAAACGCAAGTCAACTTTCGAGACTCCCATTCCTCCAGGCCGTGTTTTGTTTGGGCGAGGACAGTAGTCGGGGTCATATGATTGTGATCTAATCCATGATTGTATCTAACCCATCTCCACCAATGCATGTGGCAAGGACGCCAGCTGGTTGCTCAATTCCAGCTAATCATTTGATCCACCAGTACATCCGATCCGGGGCTCTCGGTGCCCATTCCACAACGTTTCCGCTTGAACGAGTTAATTCCAGCGCCCCATACCTGTCCGTCGCAGCGGAGCGCATGCCACAACTTTTTCGCTTGAATGAATTTATTCCAGCGCCCCATACCTGTTCATCGCAGCACGTCGCCGTGCGCATGCAGCCGCGAATGTTCCGAAGCACTGCGGTGGTTTAATTGAAGAACCATGCTGGCCAGCACCACCTTTGTCCACGGTAAAGATTATGCCCGCGTGGTGATCGACTCGCGTCGTGGTCACATTGATTTCCATCAAGTATGACTATCATCAAGGAAGTGCATGCCGGAATGCCGGCACTGCATTTTCCTACCAGGTGGAAATGGCAATGCTGCATTTTTGCTTTGCCCGGCGTCTCTAGTCATTCCAGTCCGGTTGCCGCAGGCGTCTTTGAGTTTTCCGGAGAATCTTGGTCGAGATTCTAAAGTTGGCTCAGGCCCGATGTTTTGCACCACCAGTATATTTTTCGCTGGACATCCATCCAAAGGCCAAACAGGTTGCCGAGGCAAAACACGCCTTGCAGGCAGCTCATTTTGTAAACGGATAGATGTCCAGCAAAGCAGGGCCCAGGTATTTCCCAAGAATCACTATGCATGCTACAACTTTGATTCTCTAGCTGGGAAACGTATTGGTCGTTTAACACAAAAGGCACGGGGCCAAACGTATTGGTCGTTTAACACAAAAGGCTCAAGGCCCCGTGACCCTGTGTCCAGTTACCTGCCCCTCGATAAGCCAATCACATTTGAGCAAAGCACCCTCACATTGGTTTTAGGAACAAAGTCTATTCTTGTTTTGCTTTATTATGTTACTATGGGAAGCCCACGTTGAGAGAGAGAGAGAGAGAGAGAGAGAGAGAGAGAGAGAGAGAGAGAGTAACATTGTTTAGTCTTCTTTTGCTTTGGTTAATATCTACCTAGGGAAAAGCGGTCCTTGAAAGATTCTCACAGCGGGCCCACAGAAAAGAAGTCCAGTGGGGTCCTTTCTTGGATTTCGGGGGCTCTTGGTACAGTTGGTGTTGGCTCGGCTTTATGAACGGGATATTATTCCGCTGCGGGTTAGTTTCACGCCGCACCTCCATTGCAGAAAGTCTTGTACAGCAGTGTCGGGCAGATTCAACCAGGCAGTGTACATTTCCATGTTCTATCGAAAGATCCATTTGATTTTGCTCATCCTGTCCATGGACGTCGCGTGAGGCCAGCCAGGAGGTTGGAGACTAGACATTCTTTCTCCATCCCTCTCTTTCTCTCTCCCTCTCTCTCTCACACACACACACACGAAAAAAAAAGAAAAGGAAAAAGAGTCACTGTATATTTCCACGGACGATTCATTCCGATTTTGCACATCCTATTGATCGTAGCCTCTCTCTCTCTCTCTCTCTCTCTCTCACACACACACACACACACACACAGACACACACAAAAAAAAAAAAAAGTGTGCCATGTGTATTTCCATGTTCTGGCTGAAGATTCTTTCCAATTTTGCTCATCCTATGCACACACACACACACACAGACCGACATTGCCACGCTTCACCAAATGAGATTGAATCTTCCACTGCCCCAACATGGAAATATACACTGCAAAATAATGCGGCAGTGTATACTTCCATATACCAGCAACAAATTCGTTCTCATTTTCCAAATTATGATTTATGTACATCATAAAGTGCGCAGTGGTCCTCAGGTGATCCCCCCCCCAGGGCCCAGCAGAAACCAACGGTGCATGGGAGCTTCTTGGTACCGCACGGTTCTTTTCCTTTTTCCTTTTTGTGTTGTTCACGTAGTCTTGTGCATCGTTTTGCACGTCCTGAAGATTGTACGCGAGCGTGGGGGACCGGGCTCCTGCAGAATATCCCGAAAGATTGTTCGTAGCTGGGCGGCGTTGGGCCCCTTGCATCAAGCAAAAGCGCAGGTCCGACCCTTCTAGAAACATTCCAGGTTGCAGGTTCGTCTCGGGGCTATCTAACGTGCAGTCGTTTGACAACGCATAGAGTGATTTTGCAGCAAGGACGGTATCGTCTCTCTCTCTCTCTCTCTCTCTCACGCAGCAATCTTTGCAACAGCCAGCTCCCTCGTCCATACCCACACCAGGATTTCTTTTCAATGTATGTCCATCGCGGTGTATCTTCCTATGTTCTTGCAGAAGATTCCTTCTCATTTTGCACATTGGCATGCTGCTCAGTGGATGCACACATGAAAAAAGAAGAAGTGTGGTGGTGTATATATCCATGTTCTGGCTGAAAGATTCATTCCGCTTTTGCTCATCCTACACATACGCACACCGACATTGCCACGCTTCCTGCTGTGTATAGGTAGGACGGGTGCAGCTTCGCCACGCTGGGTCCACTCATATTGATAAAGCACTACCTACACCACCTTCCTGAGGCTAACTCTAAATTTTGGTCGGATTCCACTGACCCCAAGAAAAAAAAAAGCATCGCCGTGCCGTGGTCGTCATCGCCATCACCATCTTCGCCCACCGCACCATCATCATCACCCTCCAGCCACACCATCATTGTGGCCCTCCATCCACACCATCGTCATCATTTCCTCCTCTTCTTACTCTTCGGTTCTTTCTTTTGTTTTTTTTTCTTCCATCTCTTCTTCTTCGTCGTCTTCCTCTTCCTCTTCGACTTCTTCGTGCTCTGCCATAGCGCACTTCTTTCACCTCCTTGCTCCGTCATAGTGGTGCCCTCTCTCCTCCCCTTCCTCCATCAGTCTCCCTCCCTCCACATAGTCTCCCTTTCTCCTTCCGGCCCCATCTCCTCCCCCCACATCACTCGCCCTCCATCCACAGTCTCCCTCTTGCCCCCATCCTCCATCACTCCCTCCACGTACTCTACCTCTCCTTCCTCCCCCACATCTCCCTCTCTCTTCCTCCACATCAATCTCCACAACAGTCTCCCTTCAGTCTCCTTCCCCCCCCCCCCCTCTATCAGTAAACCTCCCCCCATGTACTTACCTCTCTCCTTCCTCCGCCATAGCTCCCCCCCTCCCTATGAGTATCCCCCCCTCCTACTCCTCCAGTCTCCCTCCCCCCTCCTACAAAACCGGACAACCCCCTAATCTACCCTGCTCCTGCACCCCCTACCCCCCGGAAAAGCTAGGTTTTCATATAATTTTTCTAATATTGATTGATTGATTGATTGATTGATTGATTGATTGATTGCCGGGGGCGCAAACACATACACACACGGGCACGTCCGGCCGAACGTCCAGGGAGGGGGAACCAAACGTTTCACCGTTAAGGCTTTCCTCCGTTCGGCCGAACCCAAATGCAAGTTGTACCCTAAAGAAAGCAAAACGAAACAAGTTCGAATGAAGAAAAAAAAACGATCATTTCCAGAGTAACTCTTACGATTGAAACTAGTCAATACCAGCTGTACTCTCACAAACTGCTTCCAGCACGCTGTCCATCGAAACAGCAGGCCAGTGACCACTGAGACAATTGACTCAATGCCCCAACAAACACACGCCTGAAGAAAAGAACACACATTAGATACAGTGCTTACAAGACATGGACTCTCCACACCAAGACATCAGTTAAGAGAGCCAGGCTTCTCTTCTGATTAAAGCCTCCAACCATTGCTGAAACAAAACTTTGTCCGTACAACACCCGCATGCACAAACACTTCCCCTGACTACCTCACAAAACTCCAGAACGATTTTCCATGTCCTTGCTTACTACCAAATTTCACCGCTGACAGATCAGCCATAGGTACACAGAAAGAACATATGTGCATGTACAAGCATAAACGAAAACTCTCTCTCTCTCTCTCTCTCTCTCTCTCTCTCTCTCTCACACACACACACACACACACACACACATGCGTGGGCACATGTGTCCATCTCGCTGCGGACAACTAGAGGCAAGCACATTCGCAAACACACACACACACACACACACACACACGCACACACACACAGGAGCAAGGGGGTGCAACAAGACAAGAACACCACCAATTGCCTCATGGTATATTTTCCCCACTGACGCAGCCATCTTCCAGGAATTCTCAATCCCCAATGTGACTAGATCCACGCCACTGCTCTGATTGCTGAGACCTGAACAACTGCAGTCAATTCAAGTACTTCCATGCAATCAGAGCCATCTTCTCCAAAGAGAACATATCCCATACAGCATAGATCAGGCGGTCCGTGTGTCAACCACCTGGCTCACACCTCCGCAATTCCAGGCAGCTGCCCATAGTGGAAATAATCTCATCCGGATGCACAACGCTCACTGCAGTCCTTGCCGCATTCCTTTTAGTGATCAAACTCACAAGGAGAACACTCTGTCCTGGCGATCCCCTTCCGAAGTCCATCACACTGCAAATTCCGACCCAAAACAGAACCAACGAAGGGGGCCCATTAGTATGGCTTCAACACAGCCCAGCACACTAGTCACGCGACTCACACCCTCCACCCCACACAAGAAAGAGCCTCACAGGATCAACCTACCGCAAAAAGTACACAGCGCAAAATATGAAATATGAACAGAAACAGAAAAATATAGCAGTCCACCCACAGTCCAATTCACCCAACTGCATGACACCATACCTCATGACAGTTCCTGACCGACACGACTTGCAGTGCCAGTACCTCCCAGCATCATTTCCCCAATGCTGGGTTTTGCCCACACACAAAATAGCAAAGTGTCCTGGAGTTCGTGGAGTTCGGACGTAGTGGTGCCAGCCATGCACAGTGCATTTGCACTCCAATGTTCTTGTCGAGAGGATTCCACATGTCTTAACATCCTGTCCGACTCCCGGTCACAACATTGCAAGGTACCATAGTGTCCCGGTCTAGTAGCTCGACAGGTCAAGCCTGGGGCGTAAGTCCGGTTGGCCTGTAGATCCGCAAGCTCTGCACAGTCCAGTCAATTCTAGTCGGTCCTTGCACTATGTCCGAGTCAGGAGCCCAAGTCATATAAAAGTATGTGAGCATTCCAGATGCACCGTATGCTAATCATGGCCTGCACATTAGGGTACTGGTCTGGAAAGTCTAAGATTTGGTTAAGCCTCGCCTATGGAGTTCCATCTGCAGCAACGTGTCATCAACACGCTTTTCACTTGAGTTTGTCGGAGGAGCACTGTTATGACATTGTGCAGCTAATTACTACAGGTGGCTTCAAGTGTATTGTCAACTAGTGGTAGACAACCAGCCACAGCACCATCATCAACAAGAGTTTTGATTTTGAAATTATGTCACCCTCTACTTTGCACGATGTACCCTACATCCATGAATGTTCACCAATTTTCATGTCCAAGGAAATGAGAGCAAAACGACACCCATTCTCATAACCCCTCCCCGGGGCAGTCGACCTCCAGTAGTGCAAGCCTATGTACAGGACCATGTTAATTGGTCGGTGCAAAACAAGGTTGTTGGGATGGGCTATGTACAGGACCATATTAATTGGTCGGTGCAAAACAGGATTGTTGGGATGGGCACTGGTCGTTTAAGACCGTGCTTGGACAACGAGAGCTCAAATGTGAGCATGAACGTGCCCGCCTCGAGTGAACATAACTATTTCTTTTTGTATTTTTCATTTTTTTCTAGCACACATACACAATCCAGCAACTTGACTACAAATCCATCGGCAATATAAAGAGATTGTGCAGAGAGGTGGCAGAGCTTGTCTTGCTTACCTGAGGTTGCCAGAATACCTTCCGACTCTGTCGAAACGACGAACTGCCCGTTGTGGATCTCAGCCCCCAAAGGATGCTCCCAAAACATGACATTAGCCCCAGACAGAGCTTCATGCGGCACCACGATCAGAACGATCTTTTGCATCTGAGCACTTTTCGAGAAGATAAAAGACGAAGACAATGTTTCCCTTCTCCGTCTTTGAGGTCCCGCAACAGATGATGCAAATCCTCTACTCTCCTTGACCAGCTCCGCTCCCCAAACTCCAAATAAGACAAGCAAGTCAGCTTGACTGTGTCATCATCTGCCATGTCATCGGACGAATATCATCAACCACGTTTCCAACCAATTCACGAAAAGGTTAAATAGCGAGAAGTCACTCTTCTCTTCAGTTTCATGCTGTCAATGAAGCAAGTGAGATCGACTGTGTCATAAGCTGCCCATCTGATCCAACGAATAAAACAACCATTTCCCAACACAATTGATCAATGCGAAGGTTCAAGAACGATATCACGGTATGCTCGCTCTTTCGTTTGCCCCAATGCTCATGAACAAGACATCATGTCAGCTACCACGACTCCATTTTTTATTGCATTAAATCACCAGTTCACACGAGTCTACATTGACGAGTCAACCTTCCAAGGCTCGCAGAGCTGCAACTACGCCTTTTCAAAGTGGCCTGCCGCTTGTGCGACCGGTGTCGGGCGGCTGTCTACCAGCCGCGTGCTCCTTTCACTTAACAAAAAGAAAACTCCGCCGCAACTCCTTTGTCTTTCTGTGTTTTGATTTATGCTTGGATGTGACTGGAAGGCGTTTTAAGGGAAGCTTGTTTTTTTTTTGGTTTTGACTAACGTTTGATGAGCGAGGAGGAAGGCGGCCAATGCCGGATCGGAAGCGGGGCCAAGAGCGGGCCAAAAGCGTGTGATCCCGACAAGGTACAAGAGATGCGGAAAGACGACCGGAGACGGAGATAAGGGGGGAAACTCTGACGACAAGACATACCAAAAAAGGGGGTAACGTTAAACGCCAGCTACCATGGGAGAGAGCATCTAGAGGGGCGATGTTTTTTGCCGCGGGGAAATGCAGACAATTACAGTCACAGGGCTAGCAAGGCCACTTCCAGGTGAGGGTCAGCTCGGTCGCCATGGGGCCTACCTTGGGCACAGTGAGACGTGCTTCGCAAGGGGGGAATGCTCCCGATGCCTAGTGCAGATGAGCGCGTAAATATCCCCCGAAGGGGGGAGATCGGGCCAGCTATGCCCGACTGCCGCGTCGGACCAGCCGACGAGGCATCCACGACCTCAGAATCGATGATCTGAAAGGAAGTAGAGCCGGACAGCGTTAGAAGACTGGCACCTGGAGGGGCCAGAAGGTACGAGGGGGAAGTAAGGCTAGACTGTAGCTTCAACCGTCGGGTTCCGACTATGGTGTCTGCCTGCCAAAAAGGAGAAAAGATAATGGGGGCAATCCGACTTAAGGGGCGAAAAAGGGGGAGCTAGCCGGGTGAGAAAGCGAGGGGGGTCTGCTTGCATCCATGGAGGAAGGGAACGGAGCGTGGTATTAACCATTGGGGGCCCCACCTGGAAAAAAATCCGTCGGACAAGCTGGATCCAACAGCCGAGGAAGAATGAAAAGGGAAGAAAATTGGAAGATCGACAGCAGAGGGAGCGGGAAAGGAAAGCCACGACCGTTCTGAGGCAGAGAAGAAAAGCGAGCGCCCCCAAGAATCTTGGTAACTGTGACGGGGTAAGAGAGAGCGCGCCGCGGTTCTTCTTGGTAACTGTCTCAATTCAGAGGCACGCGTGTTCTGTGCTTCTTGCCAACCGCCTGGGAAGTAGAACCGCGAGCGAGGGGGCGGGTCACCCGAGGGGGGGAGCATCCTGTGGGGACATAGAGAACGCGCACAGTGCCCGGAAAAAGGTTGGGCGAAGATCAACCCGACAGATTGGAGGAGGGAGGATTCCTATTGGAGAGAGGCGCGCAGGGAGGGATGAAGAAAAGAAAGAGGGAGCGAGGCAAGGACGAAAATAAGACCGGGAATCGGGAGTGGGTTCAAAAATTTCGAGTTTTGGCGCCTTGGGAAGGAGAACTTGAACTCTCGCACTGAAAAAGTGAGAGAGGGGAGGAGGAGAAGGGATAAAAGGAGGAGAGAGTGAGGAAAACGGGGAGCGCACGGAGTTAGCGCACGCCTTCACGTGATCACGAACGACCACGACAGCGCTCGGGAGTATGGAGTCTGCGCATGCGCCCGAAGCGCTCAATGCCAACTTCCGACTAGCGCTCGAGACGTCGGGGAGACGGAGAGAGGAGCGAGAGGAAGAGCGATGACTTGGGGGGGACACACGGTGCGTACGCAATGTTCGAAAGCACTCGTAAGGCTAGCACACGAGGGAGCACCAAACCGAGGGCGATCATTTGCGCAGATGCTCTCCAAGATGGAGATGTAACGGAGGGACGACTGGAGGAAGACAGCGCCCGATCCCACAAATGCTAACGCGAAGTCGCGAGTCGAGCGAGGGAGAGAGAGGCCGAAGGAGCAACCGCCGAGTTGAGTGGGACGGAGTCATTCAAAAATTGAGGGTTCGACTCGTCTGCTGCCAGTAAGACCGAGTCGCGTCGTCACGGCTTTCTTCCTCTCGGCATTCAAAAGCTCAGACATCGGCGAGCCTCCACGCTTGCTTGAAAGAAATAGTGAGAGAGAGAGAGAGAGAGAAGACGAGAGAGGACGAGAGAGAGAGTGAGAGAGCAAGAGAGGGAAAAGCAAGCAGGAGGAGAAGCGAAGGAGCAAGAGAGAGAGGGAAAGGACGGCAGGAGAGGGAGCGAAAGAGAGAGGGATTGAAAGAGGGGGACCAGAGTGGAAGAGAGAGAGAGAGAGAGAGAGAGAGAGAGAGAGAGAGAGAGACTTCGTACTCTTCCACCGGCTTCACGCCCGACCACTTCTACTTGCTATGCGCCTCGCTACTCACTTAGCGCTCGACTACTTGTTACTTGGCTCATGCTCGACTACCAGCTACTTGCTTCGATCCCGGCTACTCGCGTTCGGGCAGCTGACTTGCTACTAGGTTCCTGCTTCTAGTTTGATGTTATTAGCTTCGTTCTCCTTGGTCTCGAGCTACAGTGGGACGCGGGAAGAGAGAGAAAGAGGGAGAGAGAGAGAGAGAGAGAGAGAGAGAGAGAGAGAGAGAGAGAGAGAGAGTGGGAAAATGCGTAACCGGGAAGGGAGGGAGTGTAGAGAGAGAGAGAAGGGAGTGTACCGAGAAGGAAAGAGGGGGTGTCGAGAAAGGGAGAGAGCGTCGAGTGAGAAAAAGAGAGAGGGGGAGAGAGAGAGAGAGAAAAGCAAGAGGGAGGGAGCAGGGGAACGAGTCCCGAAGAGTTCAAGGCTTGACTGATCTGAGGGTTCAGGTAGTCGGTGCATGGGGTCACCAGTTCACTGGAACTAGTCAGTTCCGTTGGAATTCAGGGTTTGGTTGATCTGAGTTTCCAGCTGGTCCGTTCACTAAGTCGAAAGTTCGCTGTTCTGTTCAGTTCTGACGGGCCCCGAAAAGTTCAGGAGTCGAAGGGTCTGAGTTGCTCAGCTTGTCAGTCAAAAGTTCGCTGTTCTGCTCAGTTCTGTTGAGCACTGAAATGTTCAAGATTTGGATGTCCCGAGCTATCAGTTAGTAGGTGCATTGACGAGTCAAAAGCTAGCGGTGCTATTCAGTTCTGTCGGGCTCTGAAGCTTCCAGCTGTCCGGTGCTCGAACCACTCGGTGCCGTCGAGTAGGAATTCCGGCAGACCGCCCACAAACTGTCCGGCTGGTCTTTTCCTCTGGGAAAGAACCTCGCGACCCTGCTCGGTTTTGCATTCCAAAGTCTGACCGGCCGAGGCCCATTGGAATTCGGAGGGGGGGGAATTGCACCCCCTTTTCCTTTTATTGCTGGTCCGGTCCTCGAGTCGGTCAGTCCAGCCCTTCGTCTAGGGATGAAAGCTATAGCCACTGGACTTCGGGGACAACCAGCACTTCTGAACATCGACATGCGTTAATCGGGCCCCAGTCCAGGCTGCGGCAGGCGAGCTCACTCCTCTCAGAGGAGGTGGTGAACGTCTCCCGGCGGGGGCGGTCAGCATTGGGCCTTCGGCCAAGCGCGGAGCAGGTAGACCCCCGCGCGGGGCGAGCAAGCGGGGACGGGGTGATCAAAGGGCATCTCGCCAACCGGACGATTCGGGGCCTAGCAACAAGTTAGGGAGAACCTGGAACTACCCGACACCGGCCCAGGCCAGAATCAAATGGCCCTTACCGCGTATACTGGTAGCAGCACTACTTAGGTACGACCAAGTACTGCATCTCTGAGGGGCATTTAACACCATCCCTGGTCTATATTTTATCATCCTATCATCATGGCCACTGAAAAACCGCCACCAATGTCGGCAAAGTCGCCAACTGTCGAGAAAAGCAGCAAGAAGTATTTGGGGCTCAAAAGAGGAGCTCAAAGAGAACAAGGGTACCTGTTGCAGCTACGCTCACAAAAACAAATATGACTGGAAATGCATCGACTTGCCTGATGCCCTCTCTCTCTCTCTCTCTCACACACACACACAAACACAAAAAGAAGAAGTAGAAGAGAAGATCGGGCGGCGTGGCTCACACA